TACATGGAAGTCAGAGGTCTAAGCCATGAAAATACCCATGTCATCCAAGTCTTGCCAGCAAATGGTATTTATTAACAAATACAATCCAGCATACTTAAAACATACATCTTTTCCCCTCAAGCATACCAAATTCCAGTGTATGATACAATATAAAATAGATTTTCTTCTCTCAGATGATACTCTAATTTATGTATTTTAGTTTCCTTTAAAATAACTACCTAAACATAGCCAGGTCAGAGTAAAAAGCAAGTTGTTTGTGGTTTTTTTTCCTCTTGCATACATCCAGCCTACCCCAAAACATTTTAGTAGCAAAAAAGCAACCTTTCTCAATTTTAACATTATGTAATAGATGCCTAAAAAACCACCTGTGCATAATATGATACATTATTAGCATTAACTACTTCCAGTGGTATGAGGATAATCCTCCAAAGACAAAGACACAACAGTCTCAACTACAAAGAGGCCAACATCTAATAACCCGAGAAACATGCAGAAAGACAATGGGAAGAAGCAGAGTGAGTGTTTGTTTCACTGTGGCACAAATACGTATCAGATAACTAAGAAATGCCATGGGACAAGATAAGGAAGACTTCAAGCCACCCTAGGAGCGCTAACTTCTCCAGAAGATCACAAGCTAGGCCTTGGGGTGGGGTGGCAGGGGGAGAAGTGGGGAGAAGGGGGAGGGGGGGTGGCATGTGTGGAAATCAAAAGAAACTTTCACAGGAAATGCCTTGCCAGACTGTCACCATGGGAAAACCAACAAGACTACCAGACTGACTGAAAAACGAAAGGAAAATCACTCCCCAAAACAAGCAAACAAAAAACCCCAGAAAACAGACTACTAACTGCAGGTATGATAAAGAACAACTACATCATCCTCAACAAATCCTAACCTGTAAAACTCTTAATTTCACAAAGACAGGTTTCTACACTGCCCTAAACCTTTGTGATGACACTAATTTATCACTCCTTTTCCTTTGGAAGGTTTCAGAAACTTCCTTTTTTTTTTTCTCTCTCTCTCTCTCTCTCTCTCTCTCTCTCTCGTACATTTTATCTTTAGTATCTGATTAAATATGCTTTTTACAGATTTTATCAATCGGTGTTGCTTAACCAACGTCTATAGGTAAAATACAACACTGCACTATAAACGTTTTCCTTTTTCTGCAGACTTGTCATACACTTTACCAAACTGTATGGTTGTTGGTACAGAGCTGTATCTCAACTCGTCATCATGCATTAATTCTTTTACTTAAAAAAATCTAGCAGGCGAGATAAGAAATGGGGACTTTTGCATTGTTACTGCAAAACTATCTCAAAAGATAACATTTGCAAGCTTTCACATTCAAATCGGCTCCAAAGTTCCTTCCTTCAACAGTGCAAGGCAGGACTGCCACAGAAAGAAGTTGCTTTTTCCCCTGTGCCACCACCCTAAGTATTTGTGAGCTTTCACAATAAGTCAGGCAAGAAAACGATTCAGGCTAAAATTAATACAGGTTTGGGGTTTTTTTCCTCCGAAGTTTTAACCCAGATCTGTTCACCAATCCATTTTGGCACGCGGCAAAACAAAATGGTTGTAGAGTGGGTACAGAACAGAGGCTGGGACAAGCAGCAGAGTGCGACACTTCTTTCAGTGGCAGTTCTGGGTTTGCCTACAAAACCTATTTAAGTCAGTCTCTGAGAAACTCTATGCATTTTGGATTGATGGGGCTATTTTTAGTATATCTGACAATTAAACACACTACCATTAATCTTGTTCATAATGATGGGAAGGTCATACATAAACGACATCAAAACATTCTCTTGTGACCAAAGTTATATCTGAGATTTAACAGTTTGCTGACAACAATATACAAGTCTGGCATTTGACAAGGCAGTAAAATACACTCAATTTTGAAAAAAAAATCAGTAGACATAGAGAAACTTTGCAGCAAAGCAGATGCTGAGTTTCTAAAATTTCTTTCAACCTTCAACTATCTTATATGAAGAAATACAGTATTACTAGTCCAATTGTTCTCAACTTCTATTTAGTTGCTGGCTTGATTTTGGAACCGAAGGACGACTACTTGGGTGCCTTAGAATTGTTTATGGTTTTCAACTTCTATTTCTTGGTCAAATAAAACTTATCAGCTCCCCCCACAAACCTTACTAAATTGACAAGCATTTGACTTATAGCCCTGAAACCAATCACTACATAACCTGAACAGATGAACCGTAAAGAGGAACATCAGCAAAAAAAAAAATATAAAAAAAAACCCCAAAAAATCATTTTGTTGTCACAGTACAGTAAGCCTCAACTCTCTGCTACATGTGGTATATCTGCCTAGTTTAGTTAAACTCAACTGGATCTATTAAACGGACACTTGTCCCCAGCCACAGCACACCACAGTTAGAATCACTTCTTCAGCAGCTGAAATTACACATCGTATACTGTCCCACTTCAAGAAGGCACTGACCCATCAATGTAATCTAACACACCAGAAACCACCTTTGACTCCATTAACCACCTGAACTGGCGTTTCATTCATCATACATAAGCAATCCAGATGCTTTTCCTTTTTACACTGCTCAGAAAGTACACGTTGATTTCAAAATTCTCAATACTTCCATTTCCAGTACAGTGCTAATGTTATCACACAGATGTATCAAAACACTGTAAAGGAATCTGGCCTACATTTCATTACCCACAACCCTAAGCAGAAGAAGGGAAAGGATAGAAAAACATTCTTTTAAAAGTCCTTGGCACAAAAGCTGCTGTTCAGGCACTCTGGGACAGGTGCCCAGAACGTCTCAAGTTCCAATAATAAGAAAAGCCTCCATTACAAGAAGTGATCTGGACACAAAAAATACAGATGTGGTATCAGAAAAGTTGCTAATAAGGACACAAATTTGTAACCAATTAAGTTGCCCTTTACTTCAGTAAGCTAAAAGAACCAAAATTTGCAGGAACTGACCCAAAGCCTGGTGGCCAAAACACCAAGGTAGACGCTCATCTTCTGTAAGAGACACACAGAGCGTCTTTAGATCCTGCATGGCCCAGAAGGCAGCAAAAAACCTGCAGTTTCAAGGGTCGATTCAGGCCTGAATTTGTACATTCTGCTAAATCTGGCTTTTATCATAAAGTCACACTTAAAGTTGCGGAAAGTCATCTTTTAATTGATCGAAACTTTTTCAAGCACTTCCATCCCAAACACTGCATCACCATAATATGCCACACGCCAAAGTGAATTTATTTTTATGAATCAAGCTGATATCAAGAAGCTTGCATTTCATAAACAAATATTATGTATATGTCTATACAAAAACATAAAGAACAAAAACACTCGTTGGTTTAGTTCCAAAGGGTTTGGTGCTTCCATTTTTATTGATGCTTCTGTAAAGCCAGTATCTGACAAAAAAAAAATTCCTCAAACTCAGATTAGGCAGTACCAATAAGATAAGAAAAATCTTCCTCTGTTGTTTCAGTGATGGTAAGTCCACTAGCAAAGCAGTTGTTCCCATCTAAAGTTAGTCTACAGTCTTTGAGCTCATCCACATTCCTTAACAGTAGTTCATAAAAATGATGTAAAAAAACTCTGCTCAAAAAATTATGTCCAACACACAACATGCGAATTCAGCAAAACAGATATGCATGACTTTGAAATCCTATTATTGCTATTACCTAGGAATGGCACAGCTCACCATTGCAAGTTCTCCAACTCGGACAAAATAGACCACCCATTTCAACCAGCACCCCAAAACTGCACTCCTCCCCATTCCACACAAACTTTGATTCAAGATCTCTGTCCAAACAACCAAAACTCTCAGATCTTCTCCTGTAACTGGCAATATTCCACTGGAGTTTTGAAAATACCAGGCTGGACTTGTCCATTCAATAATTTTCAAAACTGTAATCGGACAACAAGGCTTCTTTTCAAAGAAACAACTGACACATGCCTTGCTGCTTTGAAAGCAAAGCGCAAAGCCTACGTTCTCTTCACATTTATAGGCAAGACATTATTCAATGTGCTAACCGACTAGCGAAGACCATGATTTTTACTTTTCCATCATTGTGGAGGCACTGTTGTGATGGGAAACAGTTCATCAGATGAGATGATACTTCTGATCTCTAAAAAAATTATTACATCTCCACCCTGGGCATCGGACCAAATCCCAGGTTACAACAACTTTCTGGTCCAAAGACCATGGCGTCAGCAAACGAGCTCTGCCAATATTTGATCAATGCTCAACTTCATTCTCTATTCTCAGCATAGAGTTAAGAAATAATACCACTGTGACACGTTTCATGTTTCCAGTGGAAAAAGGGATTAAAAAAATAAAACACAGAAATAAGCCTCACAGTCCCTCAGGATGCTGTCAAACAAGCAGAGAAGATGCTGTTGTAACAGTCCCTTTTGCTTATGAAAATTCAGCAACTTTGCCAAGCACCAGTTATACTGAATAGGAAAGAAAGGATATGAATTATATCGAATTGCAAAACCTGAGGTAGGTTTTACACACGAAACAATTTCAAAATTCCATCTATAAATTCCAGAAATTCATCTTCGCTGTTTGTGCACAGTGCTATCTTTTCAGTTGAGAACACCCTTAACTAGATCTAATTGTTTCCCCCACCCAACTATGCTGGAACCCACGAACACCTCCTAGCTTACCAACAAAATTTTCCATAACGTATCCTGTAATTATTACTTATGATCCCACTTCGGACCCCTCCCCAACACTGCGGATGTATTTCGTGAACAAATTAGCAGTTTAATGTATCACCTCTGGCTTTGAGAGAGCTCGCACGAGTACAGCCACGAATTACAAAAACGACTCCTCCTCTTTTAAGGAAAAGCAAGGAAGCGGTATTCCCACAAAGGTCTGAAGGCAAGGAGGAGATGACTACCCGTCAACCATGACAAGGAAGCAGTTCTCTGGCGGTCCCCCTCTCCAGCGATGAAATGCTTACCTTCAGAAGCAAAAGTTGCAGGAGGAGGGGGGTGGTGGTCAAGATTGCTCACCTTTAACCGTTTAACCACCTCATCGTTGGTAATCTTGTCCGTAATCTCCTTCACCCCGGGAGGATAGTAGATGATTTTACCATCGGCGGCAGGTTTCGGCTGGGCAGCAGGGAAGTCCATCCTGGCGCCGCCGGTTATAAACTTTCCTTCTCCACAGTCCTCTACCGGCCTCTATCGGTCAGAAAACAAAAGTTCAGCAGAATGGACGCGACTTTCTAACCCTCTTTTTCCATTT